GTTAGGCCACAAAATAAGCCTCAAAAAATTCAAGAAGACAGAAATTATATCAAGGGTCTTTCCTGATCACAAAGGTATGAAACTAGAAATCAATAACAGTAAGAAAGCTGGAAAATGCACAAATGCATGGAAATAAAAAAATCCTGAACCATCAATGATTAAAAAAAGAAATAAAAAGGGAATCCAAAAAATATTAAGACAAATGAAGCAGAAAAAATATATCAAAACTTATGGGATGAAGCAAAAGCTGTTCTGAGAGGAAAGTTTATAGATACAAACATGTATCAAGAGATAAACAACCATTATATCTCAAGAAACTAAGAAAAGAACAAACTAAGCCCAAAGGTAGAAGAAAGAATGAAATAATAAAGATTAGAGCAGAAATAAATGAAATAGAAACAAAAGCAATGAAAAAAAGAGTATAAAAGAAAAAAAACAAAATTCAGAGATCATTCTCTAAAAAGATAAACAAGATTGATAAATCTTTAGCTAGACTAACCAAAAAAAGAGCAAACTCAAATAAATAAAATTATAGATAAAAGGGGAGACATTGCAACTGATACCACAGAAATACAAAGGATCAAAGTGACTATGATGAAGAATCATATGCCAATAAATTGGACAACCTAGAAGAAAGTAATAAACTCCTAGAAACATACAATCTAGGAAGACTGATTCATGAAGAACTAGAAACTATGAACAGACCAGTAACAAGTAAGGAGATTGAATCAGTTCTTAAAAACTTCTCAACAAAGAAAAACCCAGGAACAGGTGTTTTCACTGATGAATTTTACCAAATATTTATTTATTTCCAAAAATTTAAATAAAAATTAATATCAGTCCTCCTCAGACTTTTCTAAAAAGTTGAATAGAAAGGAATGTTCTCAAACTCATTTTACCCAGACACTAAAGTCAGATAAGAATACTGCAAGAAAATTACAGGCTAATATCCCTGTTACATATAGATACAGAATTCTCAACAAAATACTAGTAAAACAAATTCAACATCACATTATAAAAAAAAAAAAATCATATACCATGAGCAAGTGGGATTTGTCCCTGGGATGTAGGGATAGTTCACTATATATATAGATCAATAAATGTGACACATCAAATTAATAAAATGAAAGATAAAAATCATCTCAATAGATGTAGAAAAAGCATTTGAGAAAATCTAACACCCTTTCATGATAGGAACTCTTGACAAATTTGGTATATAAGGACTGTACTTCAACATAATAAAGGCTATATATGACAAATCCATAGCTAACATCATACTCATTGGTTAATGATTAAAAGTATTTCCTCTAAGATCAGGAAAAAGACAAGGGTACCCACTCTCAGTGCTCCTGTTCAGCATAGTACTGAAGGTCCTAGACAGAAAAATCAGGCAAGAAAAAGAAATAAAAGATATCCAAATTGGTAAGAAAGAAGTAAAATTATTTCTTTGCAGATAACATGATCTTATGTATAGAAAACCCTGAAAGACAGCCAAAAATCTGTTAGAACTAATAAACAAATTCAGTAAAGTTGCAGGATACAAAATAAACATACAAAAATCAGTTGCATTTCTATATACAAACCATGAACTCTAAAAACAAAATAAAGAAAACAATCTCATTTATAATAGCATCAAAAACAATAAAATAGTTATGAGTAAATTTAAACGAGAAGGTAAGAGATCTGTACAATGAAAAGTATAAGACATGGATGAGAGAAATTGAAGACATAAATAAATGGAAAGATAGCTTATGTTCACATATCAGAAGAATTAATATTATTTACATGTCTATATTACCCAAAGCCACCCATAGATTTAATGCATTCCCTATCTAAATTCCAATGTATTTTTACAGAAATAAAGCCACAAATAATCCTAATATTTGTACGGAACCACAAAAGACTTAGAATAGTTAAAGCAATCTTAAACAAGAATAATAAAGCTGGAGGCATCACACTTCCTGATTTCAAACTATACTAAAAGTTATAATGATTAAAATGGTACAGTATTGGCATAAAAACAGACACATAGACCAATGGAACAGAAATAAACTCTTACATATATAGTCAGCTCATCCTTGACAAGGAAGCCAAGAGTACTCAATGGGAAAAAAATAGTTTCTTCAGCAAATGGTGTTGGGGAAACTGGATATATACTTGCAAAAGAATTTGTATCAGGAAAATACAAATCAAAACCATAATGAGATATTACTTCACACTTTTTAGAATGGCTATTATCAAAAAGACAAGAGAACAAGTGCTAGCGAGGAGGTGAAGAGGAGAGGAAGAGAGCATGAGGAAAGCTCGTGCTTGGATGGTGAGGTTGTAAATTGGTACAGACCCCATGGAAAACAGGATGGAATTTTCTCAGAAAATTAAAAGTAGAACTATCTATCAACCAGTAATCCTTCTTCTTGGTAAGTAGATGAAGGAAATGAAATCTCTATATCAAAGTGATATCTGCTCTTCCATGTTCTTTGCAGAATTATTTATAATAGCCAAGACATAGAGATGACCCAAGTGTCTACTGATGAATAGGTTTTTTAAAATGTGATATATGCATACAATGGAATATTCAGTCATAAAGGAAATCTTGTCATTTGTGACAACTAGATAAAACTTAAGTGGGTATTTTTAAAGATTTATTTATTTATTTGTGGGGGGAGGGGCAGAAGGAGAGGAAGAGAGAGAATCTCAAGCAGACTCTGTGCTCAGCATGAATCCCGACAGAGGGCTCCATCCCAGAACCCTGAGACCATGATCTGAGCCTAAACCAAGAGTTGGTAGCTCAATCGACTGAGCCACCCAGGCACCTCAAAACTTAAGGTAATTATACTAAGTGAATAAGTTAGAGAAAGACCAATAGTATATGATGTTATTTATATATGGAATCTAAAAATAAATACTAGGTCATAGAAACAGACAGTAACTTGGTGGATGCCAGGGAAAGATGGTTGAAGATGGTTAAAAGTTTACAAGTGTTCAGTTAAAAGATGAATAAGGTCTGAGTATCTACAGAATAGTGATTATAGTTAACAACTATGTATTTTATACTTGAAAGCTGCTGAGAGAGTAGATCATTTCTCAACACACACACACAAACACATACAGGTTAATTGTGTGAGGTAATGGATGTGTTAGCTAACCCTACTATGGCAATCATTTCAACAAATATAAATTATGGCATTATACATCTTAAACTCAGACAATATTATATATATATCAATTATATTTCAGTAAAAAATTTTGTTAACAGGATAACTGAATTGAAATAAGAAACATAGAAGCCCCTTTATTAAAATTTAAAGTTTCTAAAAGCCTGAAAAATTATCATGTTAATTTAAAAATATTCATGTCAGAATTATAATTTAATTACATTAAAATACCTGGGTGTTGCCTGTGCCCTTAGGCATCAGTTCTTTAAAATAAAAAGGTATTTTCTACTTACCTGAGGGGGTAAACATATCAAATGAAATAACAACAGTGCAAGTGCTTTAACTATGTGCAAAATTATGATTATTTAAAATTCCATTCAAATTCCATCATGAAAAATTCTCTTACCATAAAAATTCAATATTAGTACATGGCAATCTACTTTAAAAAAAATAACACCCAAATCCTTACACCAACAATTTGAAACAACCAAAGAATTTGGACTTTGAAGAACATTCTACTCTTAAATTGTATCATAAGTCATGAAAATGCAGTTATCCCAAAAATACTTACATAAAAATAATCATCAAAATCCTACAGGTCAATTTCATTCAATAGTTCCTTATTGCAAAGATCAAATATGAAAATAATGTTGATTTAGGAACACAAATATGAAATCAAGTTCTTAAAAATGCATGTAAATTTAATTATCTCTGGAAGTTTTGTTTTGTTTTGTTTTGTTTTTTAATGGACAGAATACCAACAATGTGCTATAAATGCTTGTATTTCCTCTTGGAGCAATGACTTAGAGTTGGACTCCTTGTCACAGCTAGAGGTCCTCATAACAGCTGAGATATCCTATCTGAACAGCAGTCAAGTTACTCATTATCTAGAATGTTGGATATAAAATCGTCAGCTTCCAATTGTTTCATGGGATGAGGTACAAAAACATTGCAAAGAACTGACAAAAAAGAGATTCAAAATCCTGTTCTATCTCAAATGACCTCTGAGTGTGACCTCCAAAAAGGAGACAGGTTATGAAATAAATCAATGTTTTCGCCCACCCAATAGGGTAGGTGAAACTGAGGGTTTTAGGGGATGGTGGGGGGGTGGGGTGAGCCTGGTGGTGGGTATTATGGAGGGCATGTATTGAATGGAGCACTGAGTGTGGTGCATAAACAATGAATTCTGGAACACTGAAAAAAATAAAATTTAATTTAATTAAAAAAAAAAAAAAAAAAAAAGGACACTCAAACTGTGGCCCAGAAAAGCAACAACACTGCAAAACAGGTCAGCACAGGAAAGAAAATAAACATGCACATATACACCAATCTTGTTCATCATATGGCCTTTGGCAAGAATATAAAATAAATTTTAGACACTGAAAATAGTCCCTCAGAATAAAAACCATTCCACCAATCCACACTCTGTGAATGTTTTGACTGGTCCAGAGACCACATTGATTTTGCAATTGCAAAGAGATAACGTTTATGAGAGGCAAAAACAATTGGGACTTCCTGTGTTAGCCTACCATCACCACTTATTTTCTCAACCCTACTGCGGCCCTGTGCACTAATTCCATACTTTAAATGCCTGGAATAGCACTTGGTCTCCTTCTAAGGTCTTAGGGTCTTCCTTTTATTGCTAGATTATGTCTTCCCTTATATATCTCTCCCTGGGATTTAGAGATGAGACTAAGAGGTTGGCACATCACTGAGGAAAGATACTCTATCTCCATCCACCAGATTTACTGTGGTAGCAAGACCTTTGTAGGACCTGTGGTCTGGACATGAACAAGAATAACTTTAAAGCAGTGTTCAGTCTAGCGCATTCTTAGAAAAACTTACAGCTTTCAATTTCCAAGGTGCAGTTTTGTTCATCCAGTGGGTACCGCCTTAAGTCCATCATGCAAGCAGCTGTGGTTGTGATTCTAGAAGAGAAATAGTAACAATATATACTGTTAGCTCGTCCATGGCTGGAGTTAGAAAAATTAAATCTAATATCAAATACGGCAGAACTGGGCCTCTAGGAGACTGATTTAGCCAAAGTTCTAGCAAAAAAATGGTGTAACAGCTTTGGATAACCATTTTCCTCTATAAGCCTCGGGCTGATTTATTTAAAAAAAAAAAAGAAAGAAAAGAAAGAAAGAAAGACAGAACTAAATCAGTGTTTTCCCAGAGTGTGGTGCATTACCTGTTGTACCAAAGTCACCAGGGAGTGTTTGTTAAACGGGCAGTTTCCATGATTCAGAATGTCTTGGTGTAGGGAGGGATGGTCCCTGGGCTCTTTATTTTATAGGCATCACAGGTGATTAAGAATATCAACATGGATAATTCCTCTTCTACTCACATTTGTTTCCTTCTCCCTCAAATCTGATCTTCATTAAATCTTGGCTTTGACTCATCATTTTTGACATTTCTATTGCGTAGTATGGTATTTTGCAACTGCTTTAATACGACACACAATCAACCTTTCATCTGTCGCCTGATTTGCTCTGTGCTGAGTAATCTGATATTCTCATGACCTATTAAAAAACATCCTCCTATGGGCTGGAAGAGTGACTTATTTAGAACACCTGACACCTTTATTATTTTATCAGAGAGATATGAATATGTCCCTTTAATGTCTTTATATTCCTCTATCAAAATTTTTCAGTAATCTTTTATTGAAGACCTACTAAAACGAGTCAAAAAGCATGTAGTCCTAAATGATTTGTTAGTTTATATTTTTTCTTCCAGTCTGCACATTTTTCCTTTCTACCTAGAACATGTGTCTTCTTGATCTTCACAAGCCTTCTCTTCTGATCCTTCAGGTCATAAATCATCTCCTCTGAGAGGCTTTTCCCAAACAGCCCACCCAAAGTAGTTGCCTTAACTAATGTTGCATCTTACCTGTTTATTGCCTTCAGACAAGTATCACAATCTGAAATTATCTTGCTTTTCTTTTTCACTTTTAAAAATTTAAATTAGTTTCAGGTATATAACATAATGAATTAACCATTACTCAGCCATAAGAAAGGAATGAATTCTTGTCATTCATGACAACATGGATGGACCTAGCAAACACTATGCTAAGTGAAATAAACCAGAGAGAGAAAGACAAATACCATATGATTTCACTTCTATGTGGAATATAATAAAGAAAGCAATTGAACAAACAAACAACAACAAAGAGCGAGAAACAAACTGATGATTGCCAAAGGGGAGGGATTAGGGTGATGGGGGAAGGGGATTAAGAAGTAAAAACTTCAGCTTCTTTCTTTGATCTTTTTTTTAAGTACCATTTCTCTCAAGAAAATGTAAGCTGTTCAGGGGCACAGGCTTTGTTCTATTTATTTTAAGGCAATCAATAACATATGTTGGATAAATAAAAACAAATTATAAAGAAGCAAGTAAGCAGTTCGTTTTATTGATTATAAATCTTTTGTTTGGAGGACTATCTTATTGCATAATTTCTCTTCTTTTTTCCAATTTATAATGTGCCTTAAGTTTTAGGGATTCTTCTTATATTTTTAACAGTAAATAAATTTTAATCCATTTGATTAACATTGTGTATATAGTACTAGAGTTTATCTTATCATCAAGCTGATTGTTTCTGCTTTCTTTTTTTTTTTTAAGATTTGATTTATTTACTTTACACAGAGAGAGAGAGCACAAGTAGGCACAGTGGCAGGCAGAGGGAGAGGGAGAGGGAGAAGCAGGCTCATGACCCAAGCCGAAGGCAGCTACTTAATTGACTGAGCCACACTGCCACCCGTTTCTGCTTTTAATGGGACTTACCTAATACTTATATTTTACAAATTCTAGAAATTATATAAAAACTAACATTCACATTTAACTATTAATTATATAACATTTAATTATTTACCAGGGGCTTAAAAATGACATTTTGGCTATGAAATATCTGACTGAATTTCTCACTGGTCTTTTTCTTTCTCTCCCTCTCCCTCTTCCTGCCCCCCTTTCCTTCCTTCCTTCCTTCCTTCCTCCCTCCCTCCTTTTCTTCCTTCCTTCCTTCCTGCTATTTTTTTTTCTTTTTTAACATGTAGTTTACAGGCTGAATTGCTACTAACATACAGAAACCTGCATTATGTAGAAGAGAGATTTTTAAAGAAAATAAAATTATGTGTATGACAGTCATACCAAAACTTCCATGTTACTTTTGTAAGATAGCAGAAATAATCCCTATCTTGAGAAACTAGAGAAAATCAACTTCATCCGACAGAATGAACACAAAGGACATTAAAGGTGCAAGGGCACACATATGATAAAACAAAATAAGCAAGAGCCATGAGCAGATGCTCAACTGTGTAAGTGGGGGTGAGCTTTCAGTATATAGGTTGTGGTTTACACTTTTTGCGGATACATAGTTGCGGATGGCAACTAACATCTGTGAACTGATGCTGTAAACACGAGTGCTGTGAATAAGAAAAATAAGTTGACTGATGCTATTCCAGAAGAAATGAGTTTCTATCCATATTTAAAAAATAAAATAGATGAAAATGTTTTAGTCGCAACAACATTTGTATTTACACCAGTGTTTTAATTTTTTCATGTCATGCTTTATAAAACAGAAAAAAATACATAGAAGTATTTTTCTCGTCAATGTTTATAAGGCATTTGTGTCTCCTATTGGGTTAAAGCAGAAACTCCGTAGACAAAGTATTCCACTTAGAGTCCTGTTCATACGGACCAGAACGAGTGAGCTGGGATGAGTCACTCAGATCCTGCCATACTTGGATGCTCCCGAACACTTGAAATAAAAACTTGTCATCCTAATCGGTTGTGAGATGATAAAAGCAAGAAGAGATCTGTAACTCACAAAATGTCCTGTAACTTTTGTTATGACCACCTGCTAATGAGAAGATGCAGAGATAACTCATTTGATCAGTGGTTGATATGTGGAAATAAGCATATGTATATGTGTATATACATGAAGAGGTAACAAATACTCATGTACCTATATTAAAAGTAAAGCAGAACTATAAAATATGATGTAAATAACATCCAAATATATAACTCTGCAAAAAATTATGACATATATGTATATAGAACTACATTCAACAGATTTTTTTTTAAAGATTTTATTTATTTATTTGACAGACAGAGATCACAAGTATGCAGAGAGGCAGGCAGAGAGAGAGAGGAGGAAGCAGGCTCCCTGCTGAGCAGAGAGCCCTATGCAGGGCTTGATCCCAGGACCCTGAGATCACGACCTGAGCCGAAGGCAGAGGCTCAACCCACTGAGCCACCCAGGAGCCCCCATTCAACAGATTTTAATACAAGCTACAGACATGTGTAACAAACCTGCATCTTCTCCACATGATTTGTCAGATCAGGAACTACATCTGTTTTTGTCTTATTTGTATTTCAAGCACTTTGGCATGTCCCTAACCCAAGATTAAAATAGTCATAATAATAATAAAATAAAGAGAAGAAAAAAAAGAAAGCAATGGCCATAAGCATTTTCAAACTGAGAATTTTGAAACAATTCTCTATACTACTAAGTGCCTCATTTAAATTATGTAAAAAAAATTCTAAAAGAACAGATTTATAGAAGAAGCTCCTCATAAATGAATCTTATTAAAAAAGCTTAATGATAAACATCAAAATCTATTCTTTGGAACTTTATGATATATAGCAGTGCTAAGTTTCTCTAAAAATAAGTCAATACAACAAATATACTTAATGAGGTTTTCATAAACATGTCTTTCTCAATCCTGATAAACATCCTTAATGGGTCTTAAATTACTCAACACTAGTACTAGGAGTCTTCGAAGTGAAGCTAGTAACTCATTATGCAGGTATTCTGATTAAATTTTAAGACCACTGTGTAGAGATAGCTTTGTCTTTAATCACAGGAAACAGTCAATGATGCTTTCAGAATGTACCTCATTTACATGCTACAAATTTTCTCTAGTTACCCGTGGAAATATGCCTTTTTGGGGCTGAATACTATTGCATGATGAAAGCCACCTTTGGGGAATGTCAATATTCTGACTGGGCTATTCCAAAGGCCAGATCTTTGGAGAAATTTTTTATTCCTTAGCCATTGGGCCCTGTCAACTGTAAAATACTGACAGAGTACAAGAAAATTATATATGTAACATGCCCTAAAACAGTCAGTAAAGGCACCTATAAAATCAGGAAATTCAACAGCTTTGTCAGCATTTTGCACCAAAGCCATAACAAATATTTTATGGTGTCATTGCCTGAAACTTAATGATACTACATAGCAATCTGAGATTGAATATGATCAAATATAGTTATTAAGTAATAACAAATGTCTTCACCTCTCAGCCAATAAGAGATAACTCAAAATAATAATCAATGTGACATGTTTCTGGCCCTTTCAACAGACTCTTTTATTTTTTAAGATTTATTTATTTATTTAAGAAGGGGGAGAGGGAGAGTGAGGAGGAGAGATAGAGGGAAAGGGAGAGGGAGTCTTAAGCAGACTCCATGCTGAACATGGAGCCCAAAGCAGGTCTCAGTTTCACAATCCTAAGATCATGACCTGAGCTCCAACCAAGAGTTCCACACTTAACAAACTACACCACCCAGATGCCTCACAACAGACTCTTCAAGATGAGCTTCCAGCACTAGAATATATGGTCAAGGAAGTACCTTAACAGGTGAGAAGTTTGTCAGGATTTCAACCAGAGATAATAAGACAGTGACTGTGAACTTCTACTTTGATTTCTTTATCTAGATAACCACCCAATTATTCTATGCACACAAAATTCTTTTTTTCAATATCTTTGTATTTTTTTAAGAAAACAGATGTCCATATCCAACTATATTCAAAACGTGTTTTCCAATTCATAGCATGCTTTTATTTTATTTGAAATGTACATTTACTTAAAAGCCCAACCTCCTCTGATTACAAAGGATAAGGGAATCCTATAACATGAGTAGGCATCATTACTAG